CCGCCCACTTATGATGAAATGCTGTATCTCAGTATCCGCTTCACTAATCCGTTCCAAACTCGGTATGAGCCTTGCTTGGGCTATATCTAACATAACTGCTAAAAATTCTTGAAATCGGGCGATAACCACGCCCACTTCCCATATAACGGTAATTTACAGAAACGCGAAAACTGCGATAGATCAATAACTACTGAAGCTAATTAACTCAAAATCGATTCTTGGAATAACCTCTTAGCATTAAATAAAATTATAATTTTTTGGATAATGGGCGTGGCGCCGCGCACCACAAGTGTGTATCTCGGTAACCGATTTATCAATTTGTACCAAACTCGGTGGACTTTATAACCTTGGTATGGAAAAGCTATGCGTTGAAAATACGAAAACTCCGATATTTCAGTAATTGAGGACGCTAATTTACTCCAAGTTAATACTTACAAAATTCTCTTAACAATAAATAAGACTAGTAGACTATTACAAAAATGTAATTTTATTACATTGAGTGCGTTCGAGCTACGTAATAATTACCGCAATATTGCAGACTTGTTGCTTTCCTGATGACATGTTGCTGATGCTCACCTGAAACTTTTCTAAAATGTTGCAGAAATTGCGCAGTAAAAATTTTTATGTTGCTTCTGATTTGCCAATGATGAGTAACTGATTGTCAAAATTTTGTTCGCCCAAATTTTCGCGTAGATTTTTTAAAGCCTCGGAGGTTCCGTAGAGATAAAGCCTTTTCAAACCCATTTCCATTGATAACCCAGATTGCAGCAATTCATTTAACTAATTGAACAAAATTTTTTAACAGGTGGCAACTCTGTTAATGTTTTAACCTATATTTACTTGATTTTAAACATTTACAATTCTAAATATCAAAACACGTCTTTTATAAACTTTTTGAGTTGAAATATTCATAAAAATAATTTTGGCCGCATAAATCGTCTAAATACCCCTATGTGCAACGGGGGTCAAAGTTTTCCCCCTTTAGCAAATTCTTTTGGTAAATCAGCACACGGATAAATTTATACTATAAGCCTTTTAATACAAAATTCAATGCCAGAAATGAGTCAACACTGAACATTTTTTTAAAAGCCTTTTTATTCAAATTTTTAGAAATAATTTTCGAGTAAGCATTTTTGTAGCCAGACAATAAGTCAAAGTTTCAAAGCACTAAAAATTAACATTGATTTTTTAGAATTTTTTTGTTGAGTGTTCAGTTTTTTTCCATATAATGCTGGATTGCCACTAGACATTAAATGACATAAATTGTAATGACAAAGTTGGGCATTAAAAAATATTCGTGTCATTACGTTAAAAAAAGTCAATAAATTGATTTCCACATGACATTTATTAAATGCCCTCAAATTTTTATCATTTTAATACATATTGGAAATTCGGCATAACGAATGAACAAAATCTATTTATATATGGAAAAAAATGCGCACACCCCTAACAAATAACGAATTTCAAAATGATACGTACGATACTATATCTACACTGCCACTTATCAGAAATCGTTAAATATAATTTTCACTTTTAACTGTTTGGTACATCTACTACACCTTTTCAAGTTTATAATGAGAAAATACAAATTGATAATGAGAAATGAAAATTCATATTGAGAAAATACAAATTGATAATGAGAAATGTAAACCCATATTGAGAAAGTACAAATTTATAATGAGAAATGTAAATTCATATTGAGAATATATAATCTAATAACGAGAAACGTAAATTGATATTGAGAAAATACAATGTGATAATCAGAAATATAAGTTCATATTGAGAAAATACAAATTGATAATGAGAAATGTAAATTCATATTGACTATATATAAATTGATAATGAGAAAACATAAATTCATAATGAGAAAATACGTACACTCAGGCCTATCGCTGGGTGTTAGCGAAGATACGAAAGCAAAACCAAGAGGTGTAAGCGACCGAAAAAGCTGACTGGCGTGGCTTGAAGGTGACTGCAGTTTTACCCTTGGACAATTAAAAAGAAAAGTACAAAACCAGTTTAATGTAGAGTTGAGCACCACAGCTGTGGCAAATTATCTCGAGGGCAATCTGTACAGTTGCAAAAAAGTCCATACGCAACCAATAACCATGAACTCGCAGGATAACAAATTGAAACGAGCCGAAAGTGGTAAAGAAATAGCATGGAAGGATGAAACAAATTTTAATTTGTTTTGCCGAATGTCACGTTGCCGATAAAAAAAATTGGCCACCGCGCCACTCTACAGCTCCCTGCTTCCAGAGGGACAAACGTCCACTTTATTAATGCAATAACCACAGCTGAAGTGTTACATATAAAAAGGCAAACGGGGGCGCTCACACACAGCGGGGGTGTAAATGCGTTGTCCAACTGTAATTTCGGGTTGTATATGTTATAAATTTTTTTGGCAGTGTCCCTTGATGCTTACTTTAATTCACCTAATATCGCGACATTAGCTCGCAGACTCCAGAGTAACTTCAGTGATATAATTTTTTATGTTCTCATTATCAGTTTACATTTTCTCATTAGGAATTTACGTTTTCTCATTATCAATTTATATATTCTCATTATGAACTTACATTCCTCAGTATCAATTTATATATTCTCAATATGAATTTATATTTCCTATTATCAATTTTTATTTTCTCATTATGATTTTATATTTCTCATTACCAACTTATATATTCTCAATATAAATTTACATCTCTCATTATAAAGTTGTACTTTCTCAATATGAATTTACGCTTCTCATTATCAATTTGGGATTTCTCAATTTCAGATTATGGGTGAGTTATTTTGGTAAATGCAGCGTAAAAATCAGTTCAATTAATAAATAAACAACACCAAAAACAGCCACTACCATTGTTTTTTTTTACGATTTTTTTAAGAAAAGAGAAAGAAGTATAACTAAACAAAAATCTTGATATTACGGAGACATTTAGAAAATTTCGAAATACAGTGCTTTATTTCTCGACTAATCATGTGCTTTGGCTTAATAAGTTTGCGCATACATATATTTAAAGTATATTCTAGGAATAATTACACTGTGCGACAGCTTAAATCGGAATTGAGTAAAACCAAATACAAGTGATAGTTTTGGGTGTCAATAAAACTACGTTAATGGCCTTTTCCGAGTTTTGCTCAAATAAGGAAGATATCCTTGATTGAATCCTTGCACACAATTTATGTTTTAATTAGGTTAAGTTCTTGAAAAGTATTCTTAGCAAATATTCATGTAAAGATTTTGATACGAGGAATTAATTTTTGAAGTGTGTTTTTTATTAGCTCTGCGCTATATGGCATTGTAGGCCAATTTTTTTAAATTCATTATTTCATAAATAATAAAATTATAAGTTAAAAAATTCAGTCGCGATGTGAAATTTACATTATTCGTATTACAAATACCAATTTTAAACACCGCAATCAATATTTTAAACATAATTCAATTAATTTACTCTATTTTGTTTTATTCTTGGGTCTACTATTTTTCAAACTTTCCTTCAGTTCTAAAAGTCTTACTTTGAAAATCGCTGGAACTACTAAGTATTTTGAGGAATTCTTTCATTTTGTGTGTTTTCGTTTAGAGATGTGCCGGGTATCCGGTAGATATCCGGAATCCGGCTTGTACGGCCGTTTTTATGTTATCCGACGGTACTGGCTAAAATTCGACCGGATTTCCGGATTTCTACAGCGTGGCGACGAATAACTGTTACCCAGGTTTTTTTGAGAAATAGAAGAGTCCTTTATAGATTTTGCGAAAAAAGTATGTTATTGATAATTTTCCACAGATTTTACTTTAGTTGTATTAATTAGTTTTTAAATTTTAATCCTTATTTACATTTGCCAGCAGTGTAAACTTTGAGAGAAAAGTTCATTTGGCACGCAGGTC